TGCACGTTTACGCAAATAACAGAGAGGATATGACTCTATTACAATTGACAGCGCGTGGTTGAAGAGATCCAATTATTTTTCAAAAATGATGGCTCCTTTTTCACAAGTGCAGCAACAATCGAGCGAAGGGCATAACCTGCTTAATCATCAATTCCGTTCCGTTTTTACGGAAATTGACGGAAGAAAATCGACGAGCGCAATAGAATCGAGGCGCGATAAAGCCTCGCGGACGTCATTCGACGTAGCGCGGGGTCGAGGGGGGTTGCATTGAGAAATTTCAATTCTTAAGGTCGACGCGGAGCTGGCTTGATCCATTGATCCCAGAAATATCATCTGGGTTACGCAACGTTGAATAAGCGAAGAGTCGACCGGATGTCGATAACGTTTCAATTTGTCGATGTCGAAGGCGGCGTAATCGTGAATCAGCTCAATACTTGCGAGTACGTTTACTTGGAACTAAATAACAGAGCGATAATATTCTCGCATTCACGTATCTCTTTGTATCTCGATTCTATTTTTGGCGTTGATTAAAACATGTGGGTATACAAAGTTCGGCACCTCTAAATAATTAGTATTAAAAATTGATAAAAATTGATTTCGCAAGTCGAGCAAATTCGAAATAGCGGAGCATGAATATTCCTTTCCTCGTGTTCGGCTCGTGTTTTCGAGATTATAAGATCGGCTTAATTAGGCCGAAGGGTTCTTCTGAGAGAGACGGTCATCCGGAATAATCTCGCGGATCTCGAGCCGCTGGGAGCGCGAATGATAAAGCAACGAGCGACGAAGCAACCCGGCGTCGCGTCGGGAAAGGGTCGATCGACAAGACCAGGGGATTCGAAAGCGCTTTGCTGGCCCGGCTAATTAAGTACGCCGTAAGTTAATTGAGATGCTGCACGTAGGAGTAAAGCCGAAGATACGAGGGAAACGTTAAACTGTGTAAACATGGAGCTAATTACTTCGAGACTTTATCGCCGCCGAGCGGATGTAAGTGTGCGCGTGCGAAAAACCGGAAAAGCGGGAAACCCGGAGAGAGGAAGCTGAGGAAAAGGGAGAAAAATCGGCGTTTATCGAAGCCAAATGGAATTAGATGGAAACTGACGGAGCCTATTGTTCCTCGATCAATATTTTATGCGATACAATAAACGGTGGACGACAAACCAGGTGACATCTTGAGGAAAGAGTAACGCGAAAATTAAATGAAATTATTTAGAAAGATCGTTTCCCATGAGTTATGATAAGTATGCGAGAGACAACTTTTGCACGCGGAGTTTTACGTATATAATTTTATTTTCTATCATTCCTCTCGTTATTTCTCTCGTATAAATTCCAGCGAAATTCAACTTGGCCGACCCTCGACGATAATATTTTCGTTTATTCCGTTGGGTCGACGATATCTCGCTTATCCTTCCTTTTATCATTAATTCAAAATATATACTTTATATATACGCATGTAATCTCTATTGACATTTTCTACGAACGTATCTCTTGCGGCGTGTATTTTATAAACGCAAACGTACGTGTCTTGTAATTTACATTTTCTCCCGACAATTTATTCACTTGTAAGAAGAAGTGCTCTCGTATAACAGAGGGTTAAATAATGCAAGCGAGAGCGAGGTGGGGGAGGAAGAAGGAGACGGAGTCTCGAGGTTGGTAACTGCTACTACTCGCGGAAGGTGAGGAGACCCAGTTAATTACTAAAGCGTTTTAATCGCCGGCAAAGTTCCGTCCGGGCCGGAAAGGGCTTCGTGGAAATGCGGCGACTGTGTAAATTAGGAACTCGCCAGTTTCTCCTCTTCGCTCGTCTTTTCCGCGTCCGCATTATGTACGCTCCTCGGTCTCCCGAGACGAGCGTCATCCTAATTTCCGACAAGAGCCTCGACTTTTACGTAATAGCGCGTGTCGCTCGCAACTTTTCCGCATTATTCCGGAAAATTATTCGCGACCCGCTAATGGCGGAAACTTGTTATCCTAGTATCGGAAGCCCCGAGAAGTCTTCCTCGATATAAAGATCGAGGATTCAATCGATGGCGTCCAGTGTCAAATGCAATTTTATTTGGAACCTTATTACGTTAAATTATGATTGTTGCTATTATTTAATAAATAGATTGATGTCATTTTAATGACAAATTTAAGCAATTAATTTTAATGCATATTTTCAGAAATGTCAAAATTGCACGACGTCAAATGTGCAATCCTTCCTTACTTGATTTTAATTTATGTCGTTATATATATATATATATTTTTTTTTTCGCGGGAGGAGGCTTTTATTTAACTTGATATTAAATGCCTCCCTTTCTCACTTCTCCTCCAACCCCTCCTCTCTTCTCTGCGGTTCCTGGCGCATATTTAGGGGTCGCTGGTTACAGGTTGCCCCGGCAACCACATCGAGAAACCCTCTGTCGTTGCCAAGGCAACCTTCTCCTTCGTCTTCTCACCCTCTCCTCTCTCCCGGAGATTCAATTCGAGAGAGCGAGAACGAGTCTAAAGGATAGAAGGGAGGGAGGAAGCTGATTTCTGTGTGGGACAGGGGGAGGAGGGAGAAGATTCGAAGAGGAGACGGGGAGGGAAAAAAGATGGTGCGCTTTTTGGTGATTATATTTGATGGCGCGAGCGAGGACGTGCCAAATGAGGATTTGACCTTGATTAAAGGCGAACCTTCTGTCTCTGTCTCTCGTTTTACTTCTCCTTATCAATAATAAAACTATACGAATCTGTTTGTAGCAAAGCTGAAGAAAAATTTGCCACAAAGTCCGATCTGTTTTCAAAGCACTACTTTGCAATTTAATCGTCAAAATCCACGAAAATATAGTCATATTCAAAAGTGATAAGCTGAAGTTTAATATAAAATATTTAATATAAAATATTTAATATAAAGTCATTAAACTTTTTGATTTCTCATAAACTTGAAACATTTCTACTTGAATTTGATACGAGTATGAATATAAAACTCTAGAAATATTTCGCAAACTCTCGTAATATCTCTTTCTTTTTACTGTTAGTCGCTAAAGAGATGTAAGTTTGATAGTGATACGATGGCTCGTTCGTCGATTCAAGAAACATCGAGACTTAATGGAGCAGATTCTCGTGCGATTTTGGTATTCGTAGCCGAGCCGGGCGAAGAACTTATTCATAAGATTATTCGCCATTTTCGTCATGGCGCACTCTCCCTCTACCTCCCTTCCTCCTTCCCTCTCTCTCTCTCTCTTTCCCTGTATCGTTATTTAAGTTTTATATTAAAGCACGGTCGGCGCGCGCGCAGAGTTCTCGGGTATTTGATGTATGACCCGCGCGTGTTCTGCTTCCTTCACCAAGATGCACCTAAACGTGAGATATCGTATCCGATCAATTTTTCATGGCCCCACTTCACCCCTTTCGGCCCCTCTTCTTTCTCTCGCCAGGATGACCGGGCTCGCGCAACATTTCGCATTCTCAGTCCAAGCGTAGTCTCTCTCAATGAATAATTCAATTATTCGCGATAATAAAAAGATCAATTGTAAAATATTAATTACATCCTCTCAATTCGGACAAGAAAAGCTTCGAGATCCGGTTCTGTGATAATAAAGGGTGTAAAGATTAAAACATGATCAGCTGTTCGAATTGGAAGAATGCTCGAGTTTTGTTTAGATTTAAAATAACGAAAATAAATTTAGAAATGTATTTGCTATCATTGTGGCAACAATATTCAGAGATGATAGATGAGCGCCGCTCTCTCGGTTCTCGTCGACAAGCGAGCGAATCGCGTGCTAAATAACTTCGCTAACAAGCTGCCGCCGCCGCCGCCGCTGCCACTGTGCAAAAAAAGATTACGTAAGCGGTAATGGCCGCCGGCTCCTCCTAAATTCGAGAACGAAGTGTTCCGGTCGAGCGAGTAATCCAAGAGAGAGAAAGAAAGAGAGAGGGAAAGGAGAAGAGAGAGAGAGAGAGAGAGAGAGAGAGAGAGAGAGAGAGAGAGCAGAATGCACAAGCGCGAGTTGCCACTCGATCCTGGTGGGGGTTAATTTTAATTTCCCAATTTTTCCTACGCCGACGCAGCGCAGGTAATTTCCTCCCCAGCAGAGAATAGATGTAATTACTTAACGCCTCCGAGCTCCTTTTATTAAAAGAGGATCGCGCCCTCGGGGGCTGGAGGGGCGGAAGGAGTCCATAGTGGGGATTGCCACGGGAGTGGTGGTGCGTGATCATGGGGGTGTCTCTTCCTCGCGACCTCGTCCGTCCACTCGAGACTCGAATTACCGTTTCATTAATTTTATCAATAGGACATTCCGTATGGAATAACCACACCATCTACGATGGAAATCGAGGAGGTCTCGAGATCTTTTAAGCTCGAAATATTTATATCGCGAGATGTTTATAACTTTTTTACACGATTAAACTAATCGGAAAACTTTTGATTAAAATTAGATAATATTCCAGCTGCTCGTATCTGGCTTAAGTAGACATTTACATTATGTCGATAATGACCGTAATCTTTAAACGGAGAAATAAAACTCGAAGATTCGCGGATCAGGAAGGCTTAGTTTTGCACTTTGGAAAGAAAATCCTCATTCGAAAAAAGGATTGGAAAACAGACAAGCGGGACAACAATGCCGAGCAATAAACAATCGTGCAACTCGTTGATATATATACTTTTGCCTGTCCATTACCACGAATCCGACTCGGATCGAATTCGAGTGCCTCGGTCGACGAGATCGGCAAGGGTATCTCGCAGCAGCTGTGGGAAGGGAGGAGCCATCTTGCGGCCTGTTTCAGGGCAGCCGCCAATTGATTCACCCCCACTAGACGCGGCAACCAAGCGTCGATTCAATTCCAGGACGAAAAAAACCACCGGTGGGCATGGCCGTCCCGTATTTCCATTGGCCCAACATCCCGCATCTTCCACGAGTTTGCCGTGCGTTCGTCCAATCGCCGCTGCTGGGCGTACCCTGAAACCAGTTTTGGTCTCGCTAACAGAGGGGAGTCGTTGACTCGAGTCTCTGGGCAGATAGTATTGTGCCGTTGGCTCATGCCGTAGTGGTTCTAATACCACAGCAGGTCCTTGCTACCAAGGAAATCCCGGAGATCCGCCTGTCGCACGCACTGGATCTCGCGAAGGTCGCGAGGACCCGGAAGTCTCCGGTGACGTGTCACGACCGAGAAACTGTCGCGAACGTGCGCGTTACAGTGCTTCGATTGCGGCCGCGGACATTAATTTTAGATCATATCGAGAGAAATCATCTCATCGGGTCGTGGAGCTTTCGGTGGCATCAGGTGGGAGACTACAAAGGACTTTTAGAAAGATTTCGTTGGAGGTCATCAAGCTTTAATCGGCCAGCTTGGCGAGTGAAGGATTCATTGTATCGATGACTGTGTGGTGAAACTGACATTTGCTATTATCGATCATGGACATGTGATGGAAATATTGTATCTCTGATGTGTGATATCTCTCAAACTTGCTCAAAAAGGTCGTTAAAAACACCGGGAAGTTGGCCGACGGCTGGCAGAATCCCACCCATCGTCTACCTGATGTGCAACTTTCGACGCAATAAATATTACAAAATATGTGAAGCATTATTACATTGATATTTTGGATCGTGAGATTGATCTACAGATTTCGCGACAGAGATATCTAAAAAAACAGAACGATAAATGTTGGAAGACAGTAGACAATCCAGAGTGTTGTCGAAAATTATTTATTTTCAACGACTAAGCTCTCTTGAAACATCGATGATTGAGATGACTTTGTGCCATAATCGAGAAGATCTAGAATGGCAGATGTAAAAATTCGTTCGAAACAGCAAGATTTACATTTTTGTAAACATCTCAACGATCATCATAAACGTACACTAATGATTTATAGACAGTGATGATCCATGGACTGTATCTTTCAGTAGTGATCGTGCTCCAGAAGGCCTAGAATGGAAGATGTAAACGTGTATTGAGATCAGAAACACCTCACTCTAGACATCGAATCTCGCAATCCCTCGCATTCCTGATAAACACATGATTCCGGCGCGCTAGTGATCGAATGTGATCTCTTCCTCTCCTGGTGATCGCGCCTAATCCTCGACGATTGATGCGAGCTGACTGATCGCTCTCTCGAAGGAGAGACAACAGCCGGCGAGTTGGTACCGAAGATGGTCCTGGAGCCTGGAGGCGGTCTGTCCTTTCCGTTGGCGCCTGGGAACGGCTCCAGCGCTTCCGGTGGATCCTTGCTGGCCCCGACCAGGCTGTTCCAACGAACGACGCCGGTGTTCCCGTTTCATTTGGCAGGATGGCCGCCTCATCATCCGGTTCTGGGACAGGTGCAAAGCCAGGTACAGCAGAGCATGCAGGCCCAGCATCAGGCCGCTGCCGCGGCCGTCAGATTCCTCAGTCATCATCACCCGCATCATCCGCATCCGACGTTGAGCAATCATTCGCTGGTGCCGGCGATCGCCGGACATCATCCCGCTGTACATCATCTGCATCATGCTGCTGATCACGGAGAGGAAGAGGACGAGAAGAAAGGTGAGTCGATGGTTAACGATCGCGCAAACTTGAGAAGCTTGAAATATCATATTTGATATAAATCAACTTTTTTCTACAAATGTTCCATCAAAGAGAAATATATTACTCCATCTAAAGGATTTTCTCCTCCTCCTTTAGATAAAATAAAAGATATTTTAATTTTTACCAGCTTTTGTCTCTTGAGAATTCATAAGCTTTTATACTTTGATTACTCAAGTCGAAGAAATTAAAAAAAAAAAAAAACAAGAGTTTTGTGCGTTATAAAAATAGAAATATAAATTATGAAGATTATAATTCTCTATTTCAGGGAATTAATGATATAGCTTATAGAACATTTTCTTCTCTGACACACGTTGAAGTGCGTAGATAATGGTGGCGTTTCCGAAATAGCTTTTGAAAAACGGTCTTCAGGGAGTGGCGTAACGCGGTCAATCATAAGATCGTTCCTGACGAGCCCCTGGGATCGCTTACGACGCTAGTCCCTATCCCCCTTTTCCCGCCCCTCCTGGCGACCATCCGTCTGAAATCCGTGTTTCGTGCGCGCGAACGTCCGCGCTGCCGAGGGTGGAAATCTGTTTTTTACGTGATCCCATTCACGTCCCTAACACTTGTTTATGCTACGAAGGGAGCGCCACTTAATTCGCCCGCCTTTGGCCTTCGATTGTTTCCGTTGCTACGAATTTATTGCGCGCTACCGCGAATTTGCGTCAATTGCTCATCCCTCGCCAAACGCACAAATTAAACTAAATCGCGAAAACTCATCAAGTTATGGACTAATTAAGATAAGATATTTGATTAACATTTCGTTTTACAGAACTGCTCGATTTCTGCGCAATTAATTTCGTTATCTACGTACAGAGATATATTGAGGAGAGAAAGGGGAGATAATGCATTATCTAAAAAAGTCGTTATTATATTAATATTTATCAATAATTATGGAAAATTGATATTCAAATCAGAGAATGAAAAAAAATGAAATGGAATAAATCTCGAAGTGTATATCTTTCGAGGATGACAGGTGATAATAAAAGATAGTATTGAGATAATTTTAAGTTGGAATATATTTCTACAGAAATTTTATCATAAAAGAATGAAGTCATACATTATAAAAAATTGCGAGTGATAAACGATTTTACTGTATCAAATTTTTGCTGGAAGCGCATCGAATGAAGAAATTAAAATTAAAATCAGTGAAAGAAGTTTTATAGGTTTTAAAAAAAAAGAGATATATATTTAATATCTGGATAATAATATAAAAAAAAAGTTCTGATGAGCTACAGCTTTATTCATTGGAATTAAAACTTGGCTTGCCGGACTCGCCGAACTTCTTCCTCGGTAATTTCATTTCGATTTTTCTCCAACACGTTGAATAGCACTTGGCGGCTTCGCCGCTTCCGGAAAAGTATGCGGCGGTTAGATTCGTTATAATTGCATAATGATTTCTACATCGTAGAGAGGAGCATTTCGTACGTGAACGTCGACCGAACACGCGAGCGTGCATCAAATCGACCCGCCGGTTATTTCGGGATTTATGAAATAATCCCTCCTCCATTACGATAAATAGTTTTATTAGAAACGCCAGTAATTGCGATCCTACTTTCATCGAACATCATTTGCCGAACGTTCTTTACGTAGATGACTTCATAACGAGCCCGATTTATTTTCGCGCTTAATATCTTTCTTTGATATGACAAGCTGAGCGAAATCCGTCTCGCGATTTATCATGTAATTTCTTTATTATGAGAAATATCATTGGCGTTAGGCTTTGAGAAAATTGCATCATTCGTTTGTGAATCAAATAATTCAGAGTCACGATAAAGTTTTTATATGTAAGATACGCTGAACCATTCAGTTGAAATTACTCTCTTCAATTATATCAATGAAAATATATAATTAATTAAAATAGCGATGAGAAAATTCACCAAGGATCAGCGAATATTTGATTGTCTTGGATTGATCTTTTTCAGTGAAATTTCATTCGTTTAATTTACAGTGATCTATTTACGAGACCATCATTGCTTTTCAATAATAATATACTGATCCTATTTGCAGATATTTTGCAGCACACTTTATATTATATTCAAAATTATTATTAAACTAAGATTGAGAGAATTTTGTTTAACAAATATCCATTCGAGTATCCAAGTGCTATAATTTTCCAAATAGGATCTATGAATCTCTTCAAATCCAGTCGGAAGATTTTCTTCTTCTTCAAATATTCGATTGAAAATACTAGACGCAAGGTTCTCTTTCATAAGAAAATTCCAAATCGAAACGAATCTTAAATGAAACCCCGTCATGTTTTCTGCACCTTGAGCTTCGCGTTTTCTGCAATGCTCGCGCGCATTGTATTCCGCCAGGTTAACATTTAATTACACCGATTCTTAATTAAACGCTCACGGCGCGCCGAGATTTTATCCCCCCACCCCCAGCTCCCTTCCGATCGATGTCGCCCGGGCGATACATCGCTCCGCGAATCGCGATCTCTCCCCCTCTTTCCTCTCTCTCTCTCTCTCTGCCCCCTTCGCCCTCTCTCCTCCTCCTCATTTCGCTTCGCGAAACTCTCGTTTACATAATTAGCTCGGCAGCGAACTACTCGCGGACTCGCGTGCGCATGCCTTTACGCGATCGTTAAACTTTTTCAGCGTTAGCGCGATCGTTAAGCCAGGCGCTTAGCGTCGCCGCGAAATTGCGTCCCGTCGGCGACGGCTCCCAAGCTCGACAAAGCCCCGCCGCGCAATCTCGTCGTCGCGAATTAAGATCCAGACGAAGGCTGGGATTGAGACGTGTCGCTCCTCGCGTTAACCCGCTCGAAATGGGTGGGTACCAGGTCGCAGACGGTATCGGGGGATAAAATGTCCGGTTCTGCTTGATGGATCCTTCTTGCTCCTTCCTGTCTTCTTCATGATTCTTCGATCGACCCCCTACTCGAGAAAATTTTGACACACTTGTCTCTTTTTAGGATCGAAAACGCGTAAATTCGTGAGGAAAAGTACTTTATACACACTGAGAAAAAAAATCTGATTGCATTAATTAGAATTCTGGTAGATTCAACCAGGATGTCTGTTGCAAAATGGACGAACCAGAATTCTTGTAGGAATTACCAGATGAATCTGATTAATTTCTTCCTGCTAAATTTATCAAATTTTTTGGTAAATAATACTAAACTCGCCAGCACCAAGTCGTCTAAAATTTTTTCCATCTAATCTCAAAAGTCTGTTTAATATTCTGAATTCCAACAAGATTATTGGATAAATTCAATCCAGATTATTGAATAAATTATTTTAAATTCAATTTGTTAGAAATTAAAACTGTGACGCAAGAAACAGTGATGCAAGAAGAGGATGCAGGTCAAACACACACAATCAGAGAGCTAGCGTCCTCTTTCTGGCACTATTGCTTGTAAGAGAAAAAAAATATACTTTGGATTTAACGTTAATACTAGTTCTTTATATACATTTTATGGCAAATATTGAATACGAGTTATGTTAAGAGTGGCTCGCTGCCTAGCGATAAGCAAAGAAATTAATGTAACGAGAAATTTTATAGATCCAACCAGAAAATACTAACCAAATCCTTATAGTAAAATCTATTAAACGTTCTAGTTATAAAAAAATCGAGTCTTATGATAACTAGAAATTCTTGTTTGATTTAATCAAAGTACCTTCAATCATATATGTCTTGTTGGTGCAATCAAATTTTTCTCAGTGCACGAATGCCGTTTAATGGTCAATGATGCGATTCTGGGTTAAAATAGATGATAATAATAATAGAATATGAATCTTTAACTTTGCAGAGAGTCTCGATTATCTGTATTAATGATCTCTCGGGGAGTTTTACTTAAGCCAAGAACAATAACTTTCGTATCGCACCTAATATTTTCGAGATACGAATCTGCGGAGGGATTTTTTGCTCTTCAATATACATCGTGCATAGATCATATCGTCCAGGTTGTAACTAAAATAGATGATCGTGTTTTACCACGTTGAGAGTAAAGCAGCGAGAAAAAGATACAAACATAAACATTAATCGTATGGATAGTTTCTCGATTATGATCTCTCCAAGCATGAAGTATTTATGAATCATAACTCGCGTATTACGCTAGTGATATTAGTTTTGAAATGATTGGATTTTAATTGCCACTTAAGCGTTGTACACCGTACGCGCCAATACGTCATGACAGGTGTTGGAATTGTTCATTACGCACGTCTCTCGTCAAAATAGCGCGTCCTTAAAACACAGCTCTTTGTGGGCTGATAGAACGCTTGGATAAGAGACGAGATTGAATTAACACCTCGCAAGATTAAATTGTTGCAGTTAGTATAGAAATCTCAGATTAATCTTCAATCTCGTTCAATAATACATTTATGTACGAGATTATTGGTTGTGTATTGTGCTGTTTTCTAAATCATTTTTTTTTTAATCATCAGATTGATGGAAAACATTGTTCCCCCTCCTTTCGAAGAAAAAAAATTATTCAAAGGTAATAGAGACCTGTGTTGACTCTCTCGAAAATTGTAAACTACCCCGTTGATTATAGCGAGTGAAATAACAGTGTCCATCTCGGAAAGAAACACGATGTACTGCGAAAGGATGCCGAAGAGGGATACAGGTGAGACCAAATGAGCTGGGTTTCTTTAGTAAGCGGTCACGTTATCGTGGCATCCTGTCATTATTTTACGATTAGACCGAAGGGGGAGGCATTAGGGCAGTTGACAAAAAAGGGCGAACGGCGGAGAGAAGGAGAGGAGGGAAGAGGAGAGGAGAAAACGTTCATAAGGATTGACAAAAAGTGATAGAAGACTAGAAGAAGTCGAGACGAAGCGAAAGCATAACGCGAAACGCGTCTCTCGCGCTTCATCGAGCGTCGAAAGGCAAAATGTGCGCGTTATTTCTCGCGGATAAATTTTTCATAATTAGCCAGCGCGTTGTCCCGTGGAAACATTTTATGGGTCGAAAATTACTTAAAATGAAGTCGAAACATTCCTCTGTAATTCACC